ACAACGTATAGAAAATAATCATTTGTATAATAAACTTTAATGATTTTTTTCAAATCTATTTAGTTTAATTTAAAACGATCAATGCCAAAAATAAATCGTTCTAGACTTTTATAATAAACACAAATTCACCGGAATATAACAAAACTCAATTTCTTTTTTTTAGCACAATATTTCTTAGGTCGTGTTTCTTATCAGAAAAAAATGAATATATTGTTGTTCACGATTTTTTGTTCTTTTTCCATAGAGATCTGTATTGGTATATAAAAAATAAACATTCTTTTCAAAAAAAAAAAAAAAAAAAAAAAAAACTCACATCATTTTATTTGTTTTTTTTTTTTAAATTAAGGTATATTTTGATTGAAAAAAATTAATAAATATATCAAAATTCATATTTTTTTAGGACTCTTTAAACATAGATTCATACCGATGTTTAAAAAAAATATTTGAATTTCAATTCAGATTCACATTGTGAATATATATATATATATATATATAATATATATATATATATATATATATATATATATATATATATATATATATATATATATATATATATATATATATAAGAGTTCAATTACGAAAAAAAAAGAGAATGAAAATAGAGAAATTATTCTCAGCTAATCATTTAATTAGCATTTAAGCATAAAAGACATGCTGACAAACTTATAAATATTATATAATAACCTTCAATCATAGATACGTACCTGTGGAGAATTAGATAACAGTTCGAATTCATTCCTAATCAATCGTTCATCATCCAAATTTCACCTCCAATCTTCAATAGCCATCCATATTTCTTCAATTAAAACCTCAATCAACGTTATCCAGTGTTAAGCAATCATTGATCTTTGTCAATAACACGTTTATCAACACTATTCAACAGTAAACAACAAAAATTTGTGTTTTTGTTCTTTCAATCCAACCGTCAATTCTACTTGAATATGAGCATATTTTAAACATTAACGATTAAGAATACTCCCAACGTCATTAGATCAACATAATTAATAATCAACAATAGATTCACTTCATATCATTCATTCAATACCAATCATCAAACAAAACCTCGAAATTAAGGTTAGAAAAATATTAAATCTTTTTTTTGAAAAATTTCATAAATGAATATATCATCTAATATTCACATGTGAATATACAATATAAACAACATATATCATATAATATTCACATATGATTATACCTTCATGTATGAATATACCATGTGATAATTAGAATGTGATAAATCACTATTATTGTAAAGAGTAAATTACACGAGTGGTCCCTATGGTTTAGGGTAATTTGTACATTTGGTCCCTAACTTATTTTTTTAACTCGGAAGGTCCCTACTGTTTGTTTTTGTTACACGCTTGGTCCCTGTCTTACCTAAAAAGACTATTTTGCCCTTGATTTTTTAATTTATTTAAATAAACACACTTCCAACCCCACTCCACTCACCTTACCCTACCTATCCCATCATTTTTCCCTAATCAAATAATAGTCTTTTTAGGTAAGACAGGGACCAAACGCGTAACAAAAACAAATATAAAGGACCAAACACGTAACAAAAACAAACAGTAAGGACCTTTCGAGTTAAAAAAGTAAGTTAGGAACCAAACGTGCAAATTACCCCAAACCATAGGGACCATTCTTGTAATTTACTCTATTGTAAACTAATGATATATTTTTATTAACTTTTTTTATATGTATTCACATGTTTGTCAGTAATGGCTATAACTCAATAAATGAATAATATTTCATTCAATGGTTGGTTTATATTTCAATGGTTGACGATTGATTGGTATAATTGAGAAGATATCATTGACGAAGACAATATATTTTTATATTCATGTTTAAATGTTATACAATATAATATATTCTTCATTTTGATCGTGTTAAATTTAAATATGAATGATATTCATTAACCAATACAATGTTGTTTGTCTTGGTATAATATTGAATTTACATGTAAAATAATATTGTTTAAAAAAAAAACATATTCACAAACAAATTCTTATAGTGCATTATTTATTTTTATATAAAAATGTTGTATTCACAAATGAGTAAATCAACATGTATAGTTTATTCATATAAATAAAAATAACAGATTATAATGATATTTTTACTAATGAGATTGGAGTTAATAACAACATCAATAAATATGTCGTAATAATTTCTAAATTTTATTCATATATGAATAGAATAACATGCCATGATGATGCCAACACTAGTACAATGTTTTTCGGTGATTTACAAAACTCACCACTCCGCCGTGTGTTTTTAGGCCACTATTTAGGGCCTCAAAATGACATTTTTCTATTTTTATAGTTTTCCAGAAAAAAAATATTTATCATTTATTCACAAATGAATGTATCAGTAATAAAAAATATATATATATATACTTATATGATTATTTTATTAACCATAAAAAACTTAATTATATGTGAATAAATATACATTCTTATCGAATACTTTTTTATATTTATTTTTATATATTTTATACTTCTCGATTTTATTGACAGTTTTATTCATTTATGAATCACACATATATATTTACATCTGATTATTACATTTATTCATTTGTGAATATTAAATTCAAATGTGAATGATATTCATTAACCAATACAATGTTGTTTGTCTTGGTATATTGTTGAATTTACATGTAAAATAATAATGTTACAATATACCAAAAAAAAAAAGATGAAAAACTGAAGAAGCTTAAAAATGATGCTTACGAGTAGCTAAAACAAATACCTCCTCAAAGCTGGGCTCGCTCCCATTTTACTGGTATATTGATCTTCAATCTCTACTTAATAATTTTAAAAGAATGTATATTGAATACTGACATACAACTTGTTTATGTTCAGGGAGAGCATATCGTGATGCTCTATCTAATAATCCGTGTGAAGCATTTAACATCAAGCTAGAAGAAGGTCGTGATGCACCAATCATTAATTGCATTGAGTTCATTAGAGAGTACATTATGAAGAAGATAGTCAAAGTTGACAAAGAAATTCAAAAACTTTTAGGTCCTTTGACTCCTACAGCTACAACAATATTGGATAAGATAAAGAGTAAGGCAAAACAGTATATTACAACATTTTGTGGTGATGGAAAATATCAAGTTTCTGGACCTTGGGCAAGATCGGTGTATTGTGGATATAGGTGTACAAAGTTGCACATGCAAAAGGTGGGGAATTAACACGAATACCGTGTAAACATGGTGTAGTTGCTATTTGGGACACGAGGAGGAATAGTGTAGGTATCCCAGAATCATTTGTGCATCCATGTTACTGCTTATCAAGATGGAAAGAGATGTATTCTCTTAAGGTTAGTCCAATAAATGGAAGGTCCATGTGGGAGAAGTCACTTATACCAACAACTTTGTTGCCTCCAAAACATAGTGTTCCCATTGGAAGACCAAAGAAGAAGAGAACAATATCAACTGTGGAAAAGAGGACTTTGTTAGAGGAAACACAACATCGAGAGCCCACAGATCAGTAACATGTAAGAAGTGTAACAATGTTGTTCATAATGCAAGAACCTACAAAGGGCAAAGACCAATTGTTGGTGTGGGTGGTGGACAGTCAAAAGCCAAAGGAAAAGGGAATGGGAAGGCAACAACTTGATGGTTTGTAATAGGGCTAGTATTTTGTTACTTTCAATATGAATGGATTGTCTTATGTTGCTACATGTAATATCGCTAATATTTTGGTACATTATTTATGAATCGTTTGTAATAGGGCTAGTATTTTGCTATTTGTTTTGGCCAATATGTTGGCACTTTTGAATGAACTAGTTTGTAACAACAAATCCTCATTGCCATGTAATAGTTTGGTACTAGTTAATGGAATGTTTTCTTCTTATGATGCACCATTGCTACTTGTTTTGGTCAATATGCTGCTTATACATCACTTTAAAACATAATCAATACAACACAATACCATTTTCATTGATCTTAAAGAACTTAAGCATTTGCATTACAATACTTAGACAACTTAACCATTACAGAATAGGATACCATTACATTCACTACTACTGTAACATCCCAAAAATACAGTCTAAAATTTTCATTTTAATTTAATAATAAAACCACAAATACCAGCCATTCATTCAAAACATATCACTTCAGAGCATCAAGTCTACAACATTATTTTATTTTATCAGAGTAAACATCCAAGGCTGAAACTCCTTTGGTGTGTGTGCCATGCGATCACCCCGAGCTCTTCCCTTCGCTACCGGAAGTACCTGAAATCAAAACTAAAAACCGTAAGCACAAAGCTTAGTGAGTTCCCCAACGTACCACATACCATACACATAACCACGTACTGGTCCCCCATCCGCTACATTGGGACTTGCACGACATCAGACTCGCTCCGACATCGGGCGCCGCCTGGCATCGAGCCCCGCTCGGTATATAGATCTGTCTCTCTTAGGCCCCGCCTGTCATCGAGCCTCGCCCGCTAATCATATACAAGCATATAAATAGCACATAAAAAATAAGCTAACATACTCTACAATAGTCCCATAATGAGGCCTCTCCTATCTTGGGCCCTGCCCCTGTCCTGCTACTGATGAGTCATGAAACCCCGTCCATACTCCTACTGCTGGTGAGATACGGGCCCCCGCCCATACTCACTCCTATCCTATCTCGAGCCTCGCCCCTGCTCTGCTACTAATGAGATACGAAACCCCATCCATACTCTGCTAGTGATGAGATACGGGACCCCGCCCACACTCACCTCCCTACCAAGGACATACAAGTATCACATAGACAACATGTATAATATAACATGCAACATACATCGGGCTTACCCCGGCATCAGACCTTGGTCTGGAATATCACACACATAAACTTGTCTCGGGCACCCGCCCGACATGGGACCTTGGTCCGGAACATAATACTAGCATACAGTGCCTAGGGCTAACCCTCGGGTCTTGCTACTCATAAACTATATGGGCCAACAATGTGGCCTTAGACCCATTCACACAGTGAGGAGACTCACCTTGCACGATTGAAGGTCTGGCTAATACCCTCCTGATTGTTATCCAACAACTCTCGAAACTGCTGCTCCTCTAGCTCCCCAAGCTACCAATATCAATATAACACTTAGTCCCAAACTGTCCTCCAAAAGTCAAACTAAGTCACTTCTGGTCAAAGTCAAAGTCTTGGTCAAAGTCAACCTTCCAAGTTAACCTTACTCACCAAGTCAGCCTACTGACTCGCCGAGTTCATAAACTCAAAAACCCTTCCATTCGCGACTCGAATCGCCGAGTCACCCCATGACTCGTCGAGTCCTTCCATCTTCGAGTCCTAGTCCTGTCCAACTCACTGAGTTACCACTCAACTCACTGATCTGACTCATAACCAGAAGGGATTAGGGTTTTGCGACCCGACTCGCCGAGTACATGAACAGACTCGCTGAGTCCACTCGTGTCATCCCTATTCTGCTGATTGTAGCCCATTACATTGCTTCCCAATAGTATATTTGGACTCTTAGGGCTTGCATTACACGTAAAGTTTCCAACTTTACGTGCATGCAAGGTGATTTTAGCTCAATACAAGCTAGAGAGAAGGTTCAAGACAAGAATGCTTACAAACAAACTAAAGGGCTGATACTTTATGATTTCATAGACCAAGAAAAGTGTAGATCTGAAGTTGCAACCTTAGATCTAGACTCAAAACCCAAAAATGAACCATAACATGCTAAAATGCCCCAAATCATCATCCATGAATAGATCTAAAAGGGAAGAGATTAAGGTAACAACTTGTTACCTCTAAAATGTGCCCAAGCTGAAGTTGCCTCTAGATCTACACAAATTCCTTGATGTCAGCCTCTTGATCTACAAGCCTCCTTCACTAGAATCACCTTCCAAAGCTCAAAAACTCTCACCAATGGCTCACACATGAGATTAGGGTTTCCTTACTCTCAAGGGGTAACAAAGAGGTTGGGATGAGGACTTAAGGTCCTTTAAATAGGGTGCTAAGTCCGGAAATTAGGGTTTTCTCAACCCAGACCTGACTCGCCAAGTCCGCCACTTAAATTGCGACACGGAGCCCGCTTCGACTTGTCGAGTTCCTCCTTGGACTCGACGAGTTGACCCCTTTTGACTTAGGGCTTTCCTTTCCTTTCTTAGTGCTACTGGATTAGGGGTGTTACAACTACATTACAAAAGAGCTTAACCATTACATTTACTTTAAAACCTAACCATTACAGAAGACTTTACTATTACAATAACAACTCATCTCTAATTTACAAATTGTGAACAAGTATCACCAAGAACAATACCCAACTAACAAATAAACATATCTTCAAGAATAGATTTTCATTTTTCAGCTTCTTGTTCAACCTCACAAGCCAGGAGATTGTCAATCCGGCACCATGATCCTTTTCATCGTCATCTACCCAAGCAATAAACCCTTTACGTGGTCCCTATCAATTTCAAAAGCCACGATTACAATACCCATAATCGCATACAATGATATCTCCATCTAGGGTTACGATTACAAAATTCTCAACTACAACATACATTACCTGGACATTCGTAATAGGGTCTTCCTGGATTATTGTTAGTAGTTGAAGTCCGAATTACAACATCACGCCCACAATCGCATTTAACCATCCCTGATTTGAAGGAGAGAAGGTGTAACCGATTCAAGGATGGAGAAATTGAAAGAAACTCAAAATTAGGGTTGATCTGATGAAAAGCGACTATTTAAATATCGTTAACAATGGTAAATGACCATTATACCCCCAACGTGCAAGACACATAGGGTGTCTAACGGAAACAATTGACTTATTGTTAAATAGGGTCTAGGCGCGTTACATAATTAAAACTTGAGGATAGTCCGAGTTAGAAAAATAAGTTAGGGATCAAGCATGTAATTTATACTAAACCACAGGGAGCATTCTTGTAATTTACTCTATAATATTCACATATGATTATACCTTCACGTATGAATATACCATGTGATAATTAGAATGTGATAAATCGCTATTATTGTAAACTAATGATATAATTTTATTAACTTTTTTTTTATATGTATTCACATGTTTGTCAGTAATGGGTATAACTTAATAAATAAATAACATTTCAATCAATGGTTGGTTCACATCTCAATGGTTGACGATTAATTGGTGTAAATAAGAAGATATCGTTGACGAAGACAATATATTTTTATATTCATGTTTAAATGTTATACAATTTAATATATTCTTCATTTTGATCATGTTAAATTCAAATGTGAATGATATTCATTAACCAATACAATGATGTTTGTCTTAGTATAATATTAAATTTACATGTAAAATAATACTGCTACAATATACCAAAAAAACCTTTTCACAAACATATTCTTATATTGTATTATTTCTTTTTATATATAAATGTTGTATTCACAAATGAATAAATCAACATGTATAGTTTATTCATATAAATAAAAATAATAGATTATAATGATGTTTTTATTAATGAGATTGGAGTTAATAACATGATCAATAAATATGTCCTAATGATCTCTAAACTTTATTCATATATGAATAGAATAACATGTCATGGTGATGTCATCACTAGTACAATGTTTTTCGGCGATTTACAAAACTCATCGTTTCGCCGTGATGTACTGTATTTTTTGGCAATTTGCGACTGTTTAGGCCTCAAAATGATGTTTTTCTATTTTTATAGTTTTCCGGGAAAAAAAGTTATCGTTTATTCACAAATGAATTTATTAGTCATAAAAAAAATATTATTATAAGATTATTTTATTAATCATAAAAAACTTAGTTATATGTGAATAAATATACACTCTTATCAAATACCTTTTTATATTTATTTTTATATATATTTTATACTTCTCGATTTTATTGATAATTTTATTCATCTATGAATAATATATATATATATATATATATATATATATATATATATATATATATATATATATATATATTCACATTTGATTATTACATTTATTCATTTGCGAATATTACATATATTCACATGTCGATATAATTCCTATAACTTATTCACATATGAATTACAAACATGTTTAGGACCTCAAAACGACGTATTTTCATTTTTTTTATCTTCCAACAAAAACGCGTTATCATTTATGAATATTACCTATATTCATTTGTTGATTTGGATTACATGAGTTTTTGAAGGCGTACCTCCCTAGATTTAACACCATTAGTTGTAACGAAAGAAAAAAAAAATAAACCTAGGACATATCACGAGTAGTGTAGTGACGTTCATATGTCGAAATAACGCACAAGGAGCTTGGCCAATTCACTCATCTCACTAGTGGTCTCATCTACCCTCTTTTTTGCTTGCACTACCCTAGCTTCGGATGCAAAGAGCTATTGCTTTAGGGTGGCCACTTCCTCCTCTAAGAAGCGTAGACGGTTAATAGGGCACTTCTGCACTGTGCGCTGGTTTGGTATTGTTCTCGATGGGTCAGGCTCGCTAAGGATCTCGTTGGGGCCTTCATCCTTGTCTGACTCCTCATCAGAATTTTCCCATTCGTAGTCCATTTACTGATATTCTTCAGGACCCACTACTAGGTTTTCCTGTTTAATCTCTTCTGGCACCTCCCCGATCCATCCGTTGGCTATTTCGGCAAGGTCTT